GCTACTTCAATTTTAGTACTTTCCCCTCATCTCCCAGGACATAACAGAATTTTGTAATCTTATATAAATGTGTGTGAATTTTGCCTTATTAAACATTGTGCTTTATTTTATTAAATTTTTTTGTTGGAATCCAGTTCTATACTTTGGAAAAGTAGCCATTGTTTGTTTTTTTGTGAGGTTTTTGTTGTTGTTGTTGTGTTTTTGGTATCAGGGATTGAACTCATGACCTTGCACTTGCTAGGTAGGTGTGCTGACACCTGAGCTAAATCCCTGGCCCAGTATTAATTTTAATTTTTAATTAACAAAAATTTACTTTTTAAAAAAAATCTAAAATGCTCATAATGTTTTTATTTGCATCTTACTTTTATATCACCGTTTTTCTGTATGTTGAATTTATTCAATACATGAATTTGTAAATTAAAAAAAATAAAATGGGAAAACATCCCCTTTTCCAAGATTGGCATAACTAATATGGTCATAATGTCCCTATTATCAAAATGATATAGAGATATAATCCAATTCTCATAAAAAAACTACAGAGTTTTTCAGAGAACTAGAAAAAAATTTAAAAATGTATATACAACAAGAAGATATCAGAATAGCAAAAGAAATTTTGAGGAACAAAAAGAGAGCTGGACACATTAATCCCAGATTTCAAGTTATTCTACAAAGATACAGTAATAAAAACAATGTTACCGGCATGCAAAAAGACATAATGATCAATGGAATAGAATTGAGTATACAGAAACAACCTCCAGGCACCCACCTTAGTCATCTGATTTTTGATAAATGGGTCAAAACACTGGAGAAAACATAGCTTCTTTAACAAATGATACTGGGAAAGCTCGTTATTCACATGCAGAGGAAAGGATGTACACACATATCTCTCACCATGTACTTAAATAAAATCAGAATTGATAAGAAAAGTAGCTATTAAAACAGAAACACCACATCTTCTGGAAGAAAAAGTACATAAAATAAAATTATTAAAAGATACAGGGATATGTTAGGATTTTTAAACCGAATCCTGATTGCACATGAAATAATACCATGAATCACCAAAAGAGATTTTATAAAATATATAAAATTAAAATCTTCTGTACAGCAAAGGAAACAACAAAGAGAATGAAGAAACAACCTGAAGAATGGGAAAAATATTGCCAGCTACTCCTTGGACATAGAACTACTATCTAGAAAATTTGAAGAGCTCAAAAAAAATTAGACCCTGTGAAATAAAAGGTCCAACCAAGAATGGGCAGTTTGAATTAAATAGACTTCTCAAAAGAAAAAGTACAAATGGCTAATCAATAAGTTCCTGAAAAACATTTTCAGCATCTTTGGAGAAATCTAAATCAAAAGAAACCCTGAGATTTCATCTTACTCCAGAAAAAATGGACTCAAAAAATCAACAAGTGCTGGTGAAGTTGTTGGAGAAAAGGAACACTTCTACAATGTTGGTGAGACTTTAAACTAATACAACCACTGTAGAAATCAATAAGAACATTTCTAAAAAACCTAAAAATAGAAATTTCATTTGACTAAGCTATATGTTTTGTGGGTATCTTCCTGAAATTGTTAAATATTTTGCATTGTATTACAGTGGTACATAAATACACATATTTATAGAAGCACAATTCATAAAAACTAAATTTTGGAAGCAGCTTATATGTCCATCAACAGATGAATGGGTAAGGAAAATATGTTATATACTCAATGGAGTACTACTCTGGCATAAAGGATGTATTTTAATTGTTTTTGGAAAAATGGATGCATCTCTAGACTGCAATGTTAAGTGAAGTAAATCACATGCAGAAAGTTAAATATTGCATTGTTTCTTTTCTATGAGAAATCAAAACTACAAATAAAGAGCAAAGAGGAAATGATAGGAAATAATGAAGTAGACTTTGTGAGGAAGGAAAGGTAATGGATGGAAACAGAAGTGCCAAGAAAAGAAATGGAAGTAAAAGTGATTAAGTTGCAATACATATATGTACCATTTCCCCAAGATAAATACGTTATGCATTGCAAATATACACCATTAAAAATCCCATAATAAATCCTTCCCTTTGGAAATGTTTTAGTATAATCCTCCCTAGAAGTCTTAGATTTGTTCCATTTTGCTGAGCAGACTACAATACCCAATTTCCATGACACCAGCATAGCAAGGTTCGAGATGAGTAAAACATTAGTAAGGAATGAATATAGAAGATATGGTTGAACATCTCAGTGAAAGCAAAGACCTATTTAAAACAGATGAATGCATGTATAGATAGATACACATGGATAATCTTGTCTATTAAGAGAAGCAGTGATCTCTTCACTGTGCCTCTTCTACTTCTGATTCAGGGACTGGTTCAGTGTTGTAATCTGCTGTTATTACTTTACTTATATACAAGCAAGGTGTAGGCTTTGACAGTAGAGAGGGGATCAGGATGAGGGACTGCTTAGGAGTTAGTGCTTTCCAGGAATTCGTCATTCCCATTTCTCTCCAACAAAAATACAGAAAATATATGTTTAATAGGTTTTAGTCCTATTTGTTGTTTCACTCTTTTGTTAAGTGGATCACATCTCTTTCACAGAAACCATTAAATTTCCAGGAAGCTAGGGACTTCATTTCACCAAGTCTGAAGGAAAGAAAGGAGAGATGGTAGGAAGAAAGAAAACACAAACGAGGAATTTGTCATCCCTATTCTCTTCCATTTGGGTTAGAGTCCAATTCATTTCTACTGCTATTGTGGGTAAAAAGTAATTTGTGACTAGCAATTCATCCAACCCCCTGTATTACCAACAGACAATAAAGCACATGTTGCTGGATCAAGACTGCTCAGAAAAATATCTTACCATTTATAATAAGCTTTTCCTGCAATAGGCCAATGATTAGCTTGAGTATCTGGTCCAGAGAATAAGGAATTAAATGAGTTAGGCTCTTTTCTGTGATTGAAACAAGAACAATGCAAGTGCAATGCAAAATAGTCTACAAGTTATGCCATATCTTTAGAGATCTCCTGAGAGATATCTATTGAACGTTCTGGGAGGCTTTAGCTCAGTGAACAGAACATGAGCCACTGAAAATTTCAATTCT